AACAAGCACCTCAAATTGGATAGAACAGCTCTACTACCAAGTTAGCAGAAATGAAATAAAACATCTGCCTATTTTGAGTGTTTAGCTAGCTATTGTTACTACTGATTTGAGGCATGTCTCTAATATATTCATTCAAACACCACCGTAAGAGTGGAAATTATTTTATTCCCTTTTTACTTGATGTGAGGCATGCAAAAGCTAAGTAACCTGCCCAAGGACACAGAGAAAGTCTCTTTTGCTCTTTCCTCCCCGTATCTTGCAATACCCAAAATGAAACTCTGCTGATTTATACTGGAGACAGCAGCATCCCCTCTACTCCTCCTACTCTCTGTCAGTGGGACCGTCAGTTCTTTGGGGGGATTGAAACTTAGCTCAAAACTTGGCTCAATACAAGGACATGTGGGTGTTATCTGACTGTAATCTCTGAGTCAGATATATGAGCTAATCATGCCTTTTGCCCTTGCACTCTTTGAAACTATGAGCTCAAGATGCTAACAGTCTGGAAGCATCACATCCTGACTGCCCATTGTCTGGTCTCTGATTGTTGACAACTTAAACAATGGTGATTAAAAATACATATGTACAGAAAAACAATACTTCCACTACTACATGCATAAAATACATTTGCCTTTGCCTCCCTCCACAAATAATCTTGGTTGCACATCTCTCTTACATTTATGAACAATCTTCTGAGATGACTGACAATGGAGTTAACTGACATATAATGTGAATCTTCCCACTGCTATCCATTCCAAGACGTGCAGCTGAATAAAATTCTGCTCAGTCAGACATAAAATCAAATTAGAGGAGTTCACTCTGAAGAGAAAGAACTAAATTTGAAACAAATATAGCAGTGCATAATTCACTTTAAATGGGATAAGTTCCTAAAACCACATTAATCATAATCCTAACAAGATAATACATTACATTACGAGTTTACTACATCACTGCTCATTATGCAGCAGAGCATCAGAGCTTCAGTCACGTGAGGAATTTGCCCCACATGCAAAGTGAGCAAGTATTTTTTTTTGCATTCAGAATCTGTTCAGCAGAGCACTTCTGTTTATTAATAATTATACCTTATGGCCATACAACACATTTTGTTCATACCACATGTGTTCACAAAAACCTTCGCCCATCACTGAAATCTCTTGGTTAACACACAACCTTCTCCACAAAGCCCTGCAGTATTACTCAACAGTTCAGAAAAGAACCAAAAAATGCTCTATCTTTTAACTGCATAAATTCAGAAGGAAAGGTAATGACTCAAACATGGAACTTGGCTAACCCTGAAATAACATTTCCTATGTTTGGAAAAAATGCCATTGGATTTTTATTGACCATAAGTATTCAAGACCTTGGGTTTGGATCTGATTTTTAAGACAGCATTTTTCATCAGCACAGCAGCTCACAACTGTGAGAATGCCTGAGTTAAAGGAGAAAGTATGACCGCCTGCTTTGCAGCTACTCTTCAAAGTCTCAGGATGTCCACACTTATTTGGTGTATGAGAGCTGATAGGTTATAACCCAAGATGCTGTGGCTACAGGACACAGATAAATCAGAAACAAGAAAAGAGTTTAATAATTTCTATAACATGGGACATCTTTCTACACCTTTATTAAAGTGTTCAACTTTGAAAAGTCATTCTAAAAAAACCAACATTCATCATGTTGCATATTCAATACCTCTCAGCAAATATCTGATACAAAAATTGTGCCCTGCTGACAAAGTTAAGAGATATTTTTGTATGGGATTTTAGAGTCAAGCTGGGTTCTTCCTGTACTGTCAGCAATCAAAATTTTCTGACTGAAATGTAGTGAATCATTTTTTTAATCACACAGCATGAATTGTAGCATGCTTTTACAGCTGCATCATTTATAAAGGACTAACAGGTGAGAAACAGTGAAAAAGTGAAAAAAAAGGATATGATCAAATACACATCAGGAACAGGTAAAGTAAGCAGATGCTTTTCTACATGAATCTATATACTGTGATACTTACTTAGCAAAAATTTCCATTTATATATCCAGCTCATCCTGAAATACTGTTCCCTGAATAAACCAGCTTTTATTTAAAAGGCCAATTACATAAAAAAAAAAAAAAAAAGTAACAGTCAGAAGACAAAACTACAGTGCATACAATACAAATGGGACTATTTTTTCCTTATACAAACATTATGGCTCTGCATGAGGATGCAGCAAGGTGAATCCCCTACAAATCAAACTGCAGGTTGCTGACACTGGGCTCAACCATTTCCAGACGTGGGTTATTTCTAAATTCCAAAGGTGTTTTTAATACTCAATATTCAATCCACATAGTTTTTTGCACTCCATTTTATTACTACAATTTGATGTGAGAGAATTTAAGTTACACAATACGCACATACAAAAATCATAGACACAGACACTCACAAGCTTCACCTTCAACAAATAACCTATTTGCCAGCATGATGGCCACACATATATAGTAAGAGTTATGTATGGTGAGCAAGAGATTAAGAACATTTTAAACCAGATACATGCAATGCCTATGCCCTTGTCACAGGGCAAGATGTGGATGAAGAAGACTGGGAGTGAGGAGGTGTGACTATGCAAGCAAACACAACATGGGGAAAGCAGTAGTTCCTGACCTAGTAAATTAGTATCCCTCAGCTCCTGCAAGCTCTGACTCTGAATACAGGGGATGTTATACCAACGACGCACAGGCCAAGTTGTCAGCAGTTCCCCCACTCCTGCAAATGAGCAGAGACTGAACTGAGCTTACTTCCAAAAAAAAAAAAAAAAAAAAAAAAAAGAAAACCAACAACAATGAAAAAGGAGTGATTACACCTTATGAGGGAGCAGTGCCTTATACACTGGCTGTTATATTGACCAGCAGCAAACTCACTAAGCAAGATTAATTATATTGAGATGACAAAAAAATAAAAATTCCAGAAATGGGAGCTAAATTGCTGCAGTTTCCCATAATTCTAAATTTCAGTCAGGATCAAACCCTACATTATCTAACAATACACTGCCCAGAATGGAGTCTGGTGAAGCAACCATCCTGCTGCGTACAGCTCAGCTCCCTACAGAAAGTTAACATTACTGGTCTCCATTTCCTTCTGCTGGATGTGTTCCTCGGGCTGACTCTTTCACTAGAGGAGTTTGCAACATGATAACAACTGTTTCATAAGTTATTAGCAAGCATTTTGCTTTAGTGAGTATCAGAGCATCACTTTACAAAACAGGTATTACCATCACACCAAGGAAAACCAGTCCAAAGAATAATAAAACTACTTGTACAAGGTTATCCAGACACTTAGCAAAAGAAGCTCAGCTAGTACACTTAACTTGTGAGCCCTATGCCAATGACCTATCCAGCAGGACATACAGCCCTTTGAGGAAATGAGCTGAGGGATGTTGCTTACCTCTTCTTACCCATGCAGTCATTGTGGAGGACTCAAAAACACTGTAGCAAAACAGAAAAGAGCTCAGAACTGTTGATGATAAAGACCTGAACAGAATGTGGAACGTGGTATTTTTGGTCTTTACCATCAGTCCCTCTGAGGGAGACCTTCATTTCAGTATTGTTGCACAGGAAATAGGTGCCTGAATTAAGGACGCAAAGGATCTCATAAACAATTCTATATATAATAATTAAATTTTATATAGCCAAACTCTGACTTACATCTAGAAAAATAATGAAAAAAAAAAAAATAGAGTTGCCATAGAAGGACTGCTGCATAGACAGAAAGATACTAGTATAGTAACATAGGCTCAAGTACCTATTATTTTAAAGATTTTCTTGGGCAGGCAACTTAATATGTCTATGTCTTAGTTCTTCACTTCTAAATAAGGATAACAGCTAAGCTGGAGCACACTAAGGATAAGGCAAGATACGCAATAGCGACAACGTAAAAATCTAACAAATTGGGTTTGTGCATGGGTAAAGCACAGTAAATTTGAAGCTATTTTTGCTAACAATTTAGGCTAACAAACTATTTCACTGACAGCATTTCAGTGCTATGCAACAAGGATAACATTTTTCCAAGCAAAGGCATAATAGACCATATATTATCTTCAAATTAAATTACAGATCTATTTTTTCCTACAAACCAATAAATAAAGAGAGATAAACCCTGACTTGATAACATCTGTTGAGCTTCTCAAGACAGAAGGAAATTCAGGTCACATTCTACTCTCCATTGAGCAATACCCAACATAGGCATCAAGACTATTAAGGTATTTAAGACCAAGATGTTAAAATCATGCCTACAGCTGGCAAAGTGTAGCATTCCCTACAGTCACCAGAAAGGAGGAGACAAATTTCCTGGTTTTACACCTATGGCTGAAGCTCAAAGACAATCCTTTTTTGTTATATTTGATAGCAGTGTTCGCACTACAGGAATATACTCTCTTCTTGATTCTACAATATAAATCTTATTGGTATCACTGAGGTTAAGGGACACCTGATACAGTTAAAAAAATATAAGCTATCACAAAAATTATTTTCTGGCAAAGTTCAGCACAAAGACTGTGAAGTCAAATATGGTCCAGACAGCAACATATCTAAATCACACAAACTCTGTAGGATTCCTTCTGCCAAAAGCCAAGCTGAGCACCAATGGAATCAAAGATTTTCCTTCATGTCCTGGCCATAACAGGCATGCTTAAAAGGGGAAAAAAAAAAAAACAAAAAAAAAACAAAAAAACAACTTTCCAAAAGTCTAACACTGACTTGAAGACTAATCTATGACATGAATAAAGTAAAACAATCCTTTAATTTTATTTTCCAGAGTTGTCCAGGTATCAGTAACCAGAATATAAAAATCAACTAATCAGATGCTATTTGTTCTCTTTTGGTGAGTCAGTGCTGCCATCTAAAGCTATCTATGGGGCATGCAAACAAAATCCAAAGTCATGTGTCTAACATTCAGGAAGCACATCTGAGTAGCCAGAGAAAGCAGGGTATGTCAAATATGTTAATATGATACAACAAAATAATGATGCGGCAGTACCTGAAGAAGCAATTCTTTCTCTATCACTTCACCTGTCTTGCTGATAAGCTGCTTCTGTAGTCTCTGTATTCTCTGAATCAGCTCATAGGTACTTGGGTCACTGGCCTAGACAAGAGCAAAGCAGTCTCAAAAATTATACATTATAATAAGTAAGTGTTTCTTGCTTGCAAATGAACACCATAATATCTAAGTGTTCAAAGGTGACAAATATAAAATGGTGGTGGGGAGGGAGTATTGGGTGTGGTTTTAAATGGCATGAATATAAGCAGTCCTGAAACTGGAATCTCTGTCTCTTGAAGATCAGTTGAAGCATGGTCTTGTTTAACATTATTACCCTCATGAATCCTCCTCAAACCAACTACTATAAATAGGAGTCCTTCAGAGCTTAACCCTCAAACCAACAAACATTGGTAGAACCACGTGGCAGGGAAGGAAAAGTAGGTTAGTGTATCATTTTTAGCAGAAACTGAAACTGCCCACTGACAAATGAAGAGCAGTGCAAGTACTTCCCACTATTTTAAGAACTTCAATGCCAATCGAGTTTTAAGGAGAGGAAGATATTTCTCTTTAACAAAAGAAAGAGTAACTGCAATATAGTCTTAAAACAGGTTGAGAAGCTAAGAGGGACAAATTACAGGGGTACCCTGATGAATTATTATTAGGCTTTAAAGTGTCTATGCATGTGGAATCTCATTCTTCAATGGAATTAAGTGCTTAAAAAGGTGACAGTGTAGGCACTATACTGCTGCCCTCTATCTACATAGCCTGTAAAGACCAGGAGGCTAGTACACATGTCTCTTCTTCCCTTTTCATTCTTTTGTCACAGATTGTATCTGGAGGAAGATCTGAGGAGCAAACAAATAATTCTGGGAGAAGCAGCCAGCAAAGCTTACTTTCCCACCACTCTGTATCTTCCTGTTGGATCCTTTAATGAAGGGCAAAAATGAAGGGCAAACTCTGACTGAAGCTTTTTCCCACTCGGGGATTCACAACACCTCTCTCCCACATGATTTCTCCTCTCTCATGTGGTGTCTCATAAAGATTAAACTCACACTGCAGTACAGGCTCCAGTAAAGTCCTGCTCTCTGTATATTGGCTTGAGCTTATAAGGAACTTGGTATCTCATGGCTGTTAATCTTTTGTCTGATTTTATCTAAATTGACTAATCAATTCAAGTGTAACTGGGACACTAACACAGATACACATGCAGTGCTCACAACACAACATCATTTCCTGAGAAACCAGGCTAAAAAGTAGTTCAGTCCCCATGACCCACTCAGTTTTTGATTTGTCTATAGTGCTGCCCAAACATGGTGCCAATTTGTGACAACTGTATTGATATGAGGGTGTTTGTTCATTAGGAATTGAACCAAAACCCCATAGGGATTATTTCGTATGGATCTTGCCATCTGCTGGCCTTTCTGTGTTCCAAATACAAACCAGTGACCTAGAATGGAAAGAAGTAATTTTTCTTTATCAGTCTCTTCATACATTCATTTTCCTAACACTGGGTGTTTTGACTGGCCTGACTTTCCTTTGTTACAAGATGCTGCTGGAGATTGCACCTAGATGTTTTAAACTAGTTCAGCATCCTGCATTTTAATTTTCTTCCATGAGAAAAGCTAAGCACATGGTTCAGCTTTAAAATCAGCATGGAAACATCAGAAATTAACTCTCATGTTAGTAAACACAGTCAAAATATTCAGCTCTACTTCTATAGGGACTAGCATGTTACCACTCCTTATTAGAGCAGCTAAGCAACCCAGGCTGGCATCAGATCAGAGATCCATGCGACAGAGAAATCTCAGCTGGCTCTGCCTTGCTTTGAAAATAACCAGTGATGCCAACTGAGGTTCATATATTTGGTCTGTGCTTGGTGGATTTTTTTTTTTCCCCCTTCATTTGGCAGGTTCAAATAGTGTGAAAATTTAGATTTGCTGTTTACGTAACAGTTGAACTCACATTACCTGGAATGGCTATCTTTAGGAGCCCACCACTGTTTATGTGGAGGCCTCTTCCTTTTCTCACAGATGTAATTTACCTTCTGACTTTTGTCTGTCCATTCCCCAGTCTGCCTGTTCTATGACCCTTTCTAATTCTGTATTTCTCTCCATATACCTCTCCCTAATTGGTGAGGGTAGGATTGTACCTTTCCCCTATCATCCTCTTTCTCATCATCCATGTTAAGGAATCACCCCCTTCTAAATTCACCTTGTGCATTCTTATTCCCTTTATCATTTGACTGGCTCTTTACAAATCCCTCTGCAATCTTTCATTGAGAAAGTGACACAAAAATAACACTGATTGCATTGTGCAAGGAAACCATTCAGCAGTTAACCATCCCACTGGTACTATGGAAATTTCAGTCTGCCTGCCCCTCCACATAATTTGCATAACAGTAAATGAAATAGGCTTTGTGCTCTGTCACTGATTTGGTAATATGGGCTTTGGGAACTTGAAATGCTGACACATCACCTCTAATTTTCTCCATCTGTGAACATTCAAGGGATTCTCCAGTTCTTCTTCCAGAGCTTTGCACCGAGTCTGTTCCCTTAATAGTTCCTTCCGCATGTGATGAACCTCCTGTCTTAAGATCAGCATAAAACAAAACAAAACAAAACAACCACACCAAAACCACATCAGTGTGACCAAAGCACCAATAAGGACATTAACAAATCATTCTCCCATGCACTACAGCACTGGCAAAGTAACTCTTGTGATTAATAGTCGACACTGATACCACTAAACAGGTGGAACCATAAGATAACACAGTTAGACCTCTTCACTCACTTCAGTGAGAATGGCTCAAAAAAGAGGTTTTTCATCAATTCCTGCAGAATCTACTACACAGCCTACCAGATGCCACTGCTCACATCTTCCCATGTACATTAAGGCCAGAAGGACAGTTAATTCATCTAGAATAACCTACAAATCAGTTATGGAGTCATATCCAGGTACCCCTGTATTGAATCTAACAACATGTGCTTGAAAGAAGGTTTTAAATCTGCATGGCTCACACAGTCCAGAAAATAAAACACAATCTAGGACCTAAGTATGTTCTTTAGAGAATCCAGTTTGATTTCTTTTACCCTTATTACCTCTCTTCAAGGAATTTCAGGGGTGATTTGCTGCTGAAGTTGAAATTAATTGAACACTCCCAAGATGCTTGGACAGCTAGGCTCTTACAGTAGGGATAAGGGGTCGAGGGGCAGGAAAAAAAGGCACATTTTGCAGTGGTCCAACCCTTATCACTTTAGTGGGTGAGTCCTGTAAGTTCTCCAAGGGGAAAGGGGGTGTAGGATCATCATGTGCCTACTCCAGCACTGAATCTTTTCCTGATAAGCTCAGAGTTGCATTTAGCTCACTAGAGAGAAAAAGGCCTTTTTTAAAACTGTGAGGTTGGACAAGGTTATGGAAGAGGAAAAAACCCACGTCCCCAGTTGGCAAATCAAGAAAGCTAATTAGCAGCACAAGTGATAAATGGAGTCTTTCGACAGGCAGTTTTCATGATGGTTTTGGACTTCATTAAAGTATGTGATTGCTGCTGCAGTTAGCAAGAATTGATCCACCCACCATGGCATGCATTGCACTACACTTCAATACCGTCACTGAGTTTCAATACAGTAACAGACTTTCATATGAATGCATCTGGGCAGCAAGTTCAAATCCTATTCCTGTCTGCAGTCAGTCAATGAAAACTGCAATTGCTGATGTTTTGTACCCAGTTCTCTTTTCTGTTACACCAAATCAAACTGGCATACTTGCACTGGAGTCAATGGGACTGACCATGGACTGAAGTTAATTTGCTCCAGGGAAAGCCATAGAATTATACTGATACAGTTAAGCTAAAGATCTCACCCAAAACTGTGGTAGCTAAATAGAATTAGTATGACTGTTATCTGCTAAAAACATAGCTGCCTCTCCTTACAAACCAAGACTGATTCTATAGAAAATTACAATAGTTTCCCATCAACAAAGACTATACATCAAATATGGGAGGGTTAAAAAAAGAAGGGAAGCATTAAGCCAGAGGAGGAGGAGATAAATCAGTCTGGGTCTATTAAACTTCTGTTTTAAAGAAACACAACCTTCAATGAAAATTTAAGTAAATCTTTCTCAGGGAGCAAGTCTGCATATAAATCTGGAAGGAGAGAGCTCTGAAAATGTACAGGGATTTGTTATAAATATGTCAAGTGTTCCCCATCCTCTGTGGATTGCCTAATAAAAAGCAGTCCCACTAATTTGGGCCTTGGGTACTACTAAGTAGCTCACTGAACTATGAACACCTTTTCTGCTGATGTCTGTCAAGTTTATTCTGTAGGCAGTAACTCACAGTACAAGGGGAAATAAGGAAACTATTTCAACTTTGGCCAAGATGTCTTTTTTCTTCCTTTCCTCCTTCCTATACTTCAATTTTCTTAATTACTGATAAATTGTTTAGTGAATTTAATCCAGTCTGTCAAACCAAATAAACCCCTTCTCCAAGGTATAATGTTTGTTGATACAAATCTTTATCATACATAAAACATATTTTCTGTCCCAAACACAGAAACATGGATGCAAGCACATGGAAATGTATTCAATCAGTTTTTCTACCTGAGCTCCTCCACATTAGCCACACTCTTGCCAAGTATTCCCTTCTCACGCCTAAGTTTTTTGATCTCCAGCTTGAGAAGCCGGATGTCTTCCATTCTCTGTCGGTATTGGGTTTCACCCTTGTTTAAGATGGACTGCTGGATTTTTATCTTTTCATAGAGCAGAGACACTTCATCATTGCGCCGAACAAGCTGGGACCCTAGGATATCTCTCTCGTTGGTAACCTAAGGATGCAGGTCAAAGTAATAGTCTTAGTTATGGTTCCTCAGTACAATCCCAAAGTATCATGACTATATTTGCATCAGTCAAAATCATGTGCATTACAAGGTTTCACTGTTATTAGTGAAAGAAATATGGAAAGGGCCTAATAGTTTCCCCTATGAGAGTTCAGACACCTGAATAGTATAAACTACGTATTCCATTCATTCAGTATCTTAACATTTTTGTTTCAACAGCACTATAAAGCTTTAGTGGTACCACACTTACAGTAGCCGAGGATGTTGATCTTAAAAATACACTGGACAAATGAGGGAACATAATGCAGTGTGTTTGAAAAGCCAAATTAGAGATTCCTACCTGGTCAAATTCCTTCTTCTGCTTCAGCCTCTCAGCATCAGCTTCAGCAATGATTTTTAGGAGTTTTCTCTCTTTTGCCTCCTGATTTTCTATAAAGTGTTTGGTTTCCAGTGCCTGTTTTTTCATCTTAAGCAGTTCAGTCTGATGGAATCAAAGAATATAGGTAAACTGCACTCAGTAACAACTTCCTGTTACATAAACCTGTGCTCAAGAGTAAGGATTTTAATAAAATCTCATATATTCTTGTAGTTTCCTAAGAAGTACGTATTTTGTTACTTCTTGAGAACAAATCACTAAGACAAGCAAACATGAAAACCCATAAAGAAATGTTGTAAATAGTATTTTAATATCATTGTGTTATACACAATAGAAATCTGAATGGATTTTTACCTATAACGATGGTTCTAGTTGCAATTCAGGGACGCCTTATTTAATAATTTTTTAAAGTTAAATAGGTCATATTTGGAAAGCTTTTCAATGGAGTTGTTATTCAATGTTCAAAGTCAGTCTGGGATGTGAGAAACACCCTTGCTGGAAAAGTCAACAATCCATCTTATATAATACAAATCAGATTTAACTCGGGACAGATTTCAGACTGGAGTAAGAGAATTGGAGGAGAAGATGGCAACCAGGCATGGAACAGCAAAATTAAAGAGCTTTAGCACTTCTTTAGTGAATGTGTAGATGAGGAAGACTGGGAAAAAAGAGGCTGTCACTAAGCACAGAAGTAATGCACTGTTACAGTGATTGCACACCACTAACATAAACTAATACTGAAATGTGCCCAATAATTCTATCCCACTGTCATGAACTCTAATTCAAGGGGTATATGTAGATAAAAACTAATAAGGTCTTCTTGGATTATCAGAAATTTCTATCATTGATAGGCAATTAGTTAGATCCAGCATGGAACTAGGTGACTACAGTCCATTTTCACAGATATGAAAACTTTCAAGCCTTGACTCAAAGACTTTGCCAGAACTCTGACCCTTACAAAGGATAATGCTCAAGCTGCCTTCTGGGAAAGAGAATCATCCAATGCTGAAAGAATGAGGCTGTGATGAAGGCTGCATCTGCAAAAACATTGATTTAAGATAGAAAGATTTCCATCACCATAATAAAATAGCTTGTTCCATTCTTATTTTCTTTAATAAAATTCTCATTTTCCCACATGTGCAACACTCATATCTCTCTTACTCAGTGTTAGATGTTCATCAGAATCCATCAGCCGAATAAAAATGCAAGCTACTTCATATTGAAATGCAATCAACACTCTGCAAAAGCTGTCTACAAATGTAAAACTACTCATGCGTTTGGCATTGCTGGATAATATTTTTTTAATATATCAAAATTCTATGTTCTCCTTATGTCAGAAAAAATATGAGTTGTAAACAAGAAGTGGCATTAGATGTTGGCAGCAAACATTCATATAAACAAATCTCCTCACTGGAATGCATTAAGTTAAAATAAATCTGAACTGCCTTGCATAGTAAAAAACATAAATACTTGAAGTCACACAAAGGCCCCACAAACTAAAAGGACATTCAATTAGATTAAATATGCTAAAAACTACAGTATGAGGGTCTGTGTACATTAAGTAAGAGAAAAGGAAATTAATAAACACAGTCACTGTGCAAGCAGAAAAATGGTCAGGTCTGAAACTGCTATAAATCAGCACAGCTCATTTCAAGTTGGTTCAGAGAGTTTGTAAGAACTGAAGAATATGTCAACATCTCAAACCAAATTCAAACCAAATTCTTGTTTAGATCCTGAAATATTAGCATAAGCAAAGAGGGGTTTTATTTGTTCTAGCGGTGGGAGGAAAATATGAATTTTATAAAAGGTATAATTGGAGCTGGATACAGAATGATGAAATGTCAGAGGTTTTACATGCAGATTTCTAGAAAATGCTAAAAAGACATGCATGAACATTTACAAAAAGATAAAAAAGCACTTGACAGCAGATAAAACCTGAAGAGCCATAGTTCTTATAGCTTTCAGATACGTATTTTTCAACATTCAGCTGCTTTGGCAGACCAATCTGATTCTCAAGCCTATATGAAGGCCAACCAAAACCAAAAGATGGCATTGTAGGGAGCTTGGATCAGGCATCCTCTGTTTCATTTACCATGATTACACATTTTTAAGACCTTTATGCCAGCTGAGGCAAGCATAAATCTAATGTCCGTATAATCTCATTCCTAAGAATCCCAGTCCTCCATGCTTTAGCGCATTCTTTAAACTGATTTCCCAGGAACAGCTTGCTTGCTTCCTTCACATCAGCACAAACAGAACAAATTGAAGTCAGCTTGCTACACAAATAATTGGGTTCTTTTGTGCCTGTGTCAATCAGCTCCCTCTTTGAATTCTCTTCTGCTTTAGTATTCAGCAGAGACACTCAGGTAGAAGACCAGAATGCCCTGAAGCTAGTCAGTAATGTGATGTCAGTGTATGGACATACTTGCTAGTGAATAATTGAGTAGGTAAACCATGTAGCAATCATATGTTTGTCAAATGGATGGCAGACAGTTCTGAGGTGATGAGACTGAATTGGGGACTAGTTAAGGCAGTGAGCTGCACACAGGAAATGAGATGCTGTTTGACTTCTCCATCACTTATAGAACAACTTTGAGACAGATCAGGTACAAGAACACAAATACATCACCTTTTTACAAAGCTCTATTGACATCTTGTCATAACTGTAATGTGCTGAGAGGGGCAGAAAACTCAAGGAGTCATTGAAGCATAGCAATAAACTGATAAGAGAAAACATTGTTCAAAGTGGCAGGGGACTTTTGGTTTTGGGGAGTGTTGTTTGGTTCCTGGTTTTGTTTTTTTTCTAGTGTTTAGTGAAGAGAAAAAATAAGCTGCTGTGGACACTAACTCCTTAAATCTTTTGAGAGTGCAGAAAATAGGGTTGAGATATCACCACAAATCTAATAGCTTATCTAAGGATGGGCTGCAGCCAGTGCTGAGAATAACCACCAGAGCTTCAAGCTCAGATTTTCTTTGATTTAAAACACATTCTTGCTGCTTTACACCACAATATTAAAATAGCTTTCTGTGCAGAGGGACCTACGGAAAGGCACTGCCTAACTCCCAGAAGACTAATACTTGCTAGTCACACAGAAATACAAGGTTGTAAAGTGTAATATAATGGGGTTTGCACTTAAAAACAGCAGAGAGAAAAAAGTTTTTAAAGAGAAAAATTTGAATTATAAGGATCTATATTAAAAAGTTTGCTAGAATCAGTCTATCCCCCCAAATCCACATTTCTGCAAACAAAATGGAACTTTTTAGTAAACACGTACAGACACCAGAGATTTAAAGCTTCCAATAGACAAACCAGGACCTTTCTGATTATAAATATAGGGAGAGATTAAATTTGTCAGACACATGGGAGATTTGTGTAACTAATACCTCTAAAGGGTACTGAGGTGTTGTGCTTCAACTACAGAATAGTTTATTAAAATACATCAAAACAACTACCACAGATCAGGAACATAATGCAGTCTGTGAATATATGGAATCCATCATTTGTAAGAAACTGTACGTGTAAAGGCTCTTACTTTCAATGATTCCTTCTCCTTCTCTGTTTGCTGATGTTCTAGATGTGCTTTCACAAGGGTTGCTTCTTTGTCTGTGATCTCCTCTTTCAGCTGATCCACTTGATGTGTCAGAGTTTTCAGTTTTTTCTTAATTTCTGCTATCTCATCCTAATAGGACAGGAAGTGTGATCACGGAGAGGGATCAAAAAAGAGCAAGTCTGTGATTGGGAGTTCAAGATATTTTGATGTTGGAAAATATAACCACAGTGCTTGAGAGATTACTTCTTAATCCAAGAGAGCAAAACAGTTTCATTAAATGACAGTTTTCTGTTTATGCCAGCATGACATTGCAGTAAAAAAGCCTTTAAAAGATACATTGACAAAAATAATAACCATTAATTATGAGCATAATAAGCCATTTAATTTTAAGTGCTGTACACATGATAAGAACTAGCAGTCAATCCAAATTATTAAGATTCTGATCCTATCCATTTGTTTTCATGCTTCTAGTAATGTGTTTTACAATAAGGTTGTATGCAGTTGGGCACGAATGTTCAGAGAGCTGTTTTTGTGCAAATGAACATACCCATAAGTAAGATACCTAGATACCTGCAAGGGAGTATAGGAAATGCTTATCTCCATTTTGCCCATGTGCTGGCTTGCACACAGATGCAAGGGGAAAAGAGTGTGCTCAGAGATTGAGAAGTTCCTGCTATGGGAATATTTAGCATATGTTTTAAGCTCAAAACACAGCACAAAAAGCCTGGTAGCACTGCAGGGAGATCAGATCACTAGGACTGCTACTCACAGCACAGAAGTGCCTGCCCATATGAAATTAAGAAAGTGTTCCAACTAATCAGTGACAGCACATATTTTGACATGAAATGGAAACTAATAAATTCAATGCTTAGACAGACATGCTCTTCTGGATCTATTGAAAGCAGCTTTAGAAGATATTACTCTTCTGAATGAGGCTGCCACCTCACAGAGAAGACATCATAACTTTTCATGTGAATATATTCTTTCAGTACAAAACCAGGGTAGCTTAGAGCTCTTTCAGCACTGTCCACCATAGGTGTAGATTTATTTGACAAATGAGTGATGTTTTTCATGCATGAAATGCTTGACATAGTTAAGCAAGATCTTGAATCATGGCAGTCTTTACAAACCGTCAGAGAAAATACTGACAGCCCTCAAAAACAAAATCCATGGATTCCACACTTATTTGGAAAATTAAATGAACCAGAAGACAATGTAGCAATATGCCATTGGGACCACCTGTTTGCATGTTTGGTCATTCCTGTGAATGTCAAAGTGATATTAAAAGCTATCCTTGCTAAATAGCCTATTAATCTCTTCAATATTGTAAAAGATCAGAGATTAAAAATATGATGCCCAGAAGTATAACCAAATACATTCCTGATTCTTCTTAATGAAGAACAGTAAGAACACACAATTTTTGCAAACAGGTCTCCGAGCCAACTTGCTTAAACAAGCTCCTAACACCAGAAGAAACCCCAAGGATGAAAGCATCATATATTTATCTCCTATTAACAGCCTGCCAGAATGTCTTTTCCAAGAGATTTTACTGAGCTGAACATTATGGTACTCTGGAGACCACTAGTAAGGTGGGCAACAGGGGATCTTTCCACATTAAGCAATCCAAAAATATTTACATATAGCTTTATCTAAACAAGCAAATTTGTTTTACTTTCCCGAAGGAAAAAGAATCTACCATAATTTTTAACACAATCATCTTATTATTTTTTCTTTCATGGCTGGCTCACCTGTTACTGCACTATGAATAGCTATATTTCACTGCTATACATAACATTTCCTTGGCCAAATGATCTTTTGGAGTTAGCTATCTTCTCACATATGACTTACCAAAAAATTTTTATGGTAAGCCAGGTGAGCTATTAAAGTCTAAACATCAGCCTCTAACAGCTGGAACTGTGAACAGCATCGTGTATACCACCATATAACATTCAAAACCTGAAAAGGCAGATGAAATTGTTGCTTCATTTTAAAACTCAGCAGAGATGCCAGTTCTTAACATGTAAAAAATTATGTTGTATATTTTAAAAATAAAAAATCAGTGTTGTAATTTTTCACCCTTACTTCTCCTGAGGGATTGTTTGGGAGCAGCAAGAATCCCAACACTGCATCCACTGATGAGAGGCAGACAAAAGTCAAGTAAAGCATCTCACATAAGTGGCAAAATGGTTCATTCCTAATCAAATTCAGCACACAATTGCATAGGAACTTGGACAGTTCATTACCATCTGCTTCTCAAGCAAAACACCTAGCTATTCAAACCAGAGTATAAATTTGTAATCTACTATATAGGTTTATGTTATAAATCCTTATTCTGAAATAGCCCAAGGCTGTAAATCACGGCTATCCAACGTCCCTACCTCCGCCAATTGCAATAGGATTTGTGTAGTATTTTAGATCTTCACATAGAATAAGAGAATGCATCCTTAAGTGATCTGTTCTATTCCTCTAGTATTGTTAGTGAGATCCCCAAGGAAGAGATATGAATGGAGAGAATCATTATCTGAGGAAAATTACACTCCCTGAAAGGAACAAGCGAGGTGGAAGCATTAAGTTCTGTCAGAAAATTCCACTGCAGCTGAGAGTGTTCCGTATGCTTTCCAAATCATGATTCACGGTCATGTGCATTTGCATTCAGGGCTAAGGAGGCAATCATATTCCCCTTATACCCTATTTCCCATACATGCAGACAACTCCTAAAGGGATAAAACAGAGTGGAGCCAGGATGTAAAGGAAAAAGTTTATTCCCTGATAGGGTTTTATGATTCCACTGTACCGTGATTTTATGCATGGTTTAAAGCAGGAATATTGCTATGTGGTGACTGTGGACTCCCATTTCCAGCCCAAATACAAACTGTCCAGAAAAATATCGGGGACCTAAAACATTAATTTCCCTAAAACAAACAGGAATGAAGAAACCATTTCTGCCATTTATCCACTGTGCTTTCTTTCTAACAAATTAAAATTAGATCAGGGAAAAAAAAAAAAAAAAAAAAAAAAAAACAATAAGAGCAGAGAGAGAAACACAAGGAAAAACGTATCCTTCTACCTTAGCTTCAATCAGATTTTTACTGTACAGGTTCCTCTCTGTTCTCACAGCTTCACAGCGGTTTTGTTGCTGTTTTAATTTAATCCCAGACTCTTCTATTTTCTTCTCATAGTCACAGATCTGCATTTCCCGTATTTCAATATCTTTCAGGTGCTGGAGGACCTAGAGCAGAAAGAAGGAAGTGAACACAATTAAACCATCATCACAAGATTATAAGGATGGGGCAGCTGTGATTTTCTTCTAAGATGACAAATTCAAATCCCTGTGATAAGAAGTTTTAGCTACAGCTAAAAATCACTTCAGTCCAAGTACAAGTTTAACCTTTCTGGATTGCTTTATGTGGGACAAAATTTTACTTTAATCTGACAGCTAGGCTATGTTCGAGACTAAAATTTATAGATATGCACATATTTAATTCAAATACAAGCTACTGAAAATATAGCCACTGAGCAGGTTCAATAAAATCAACATAAACAGCTTTCATCAAGAATAGCCTTAGGTTATTTACAGAGCAAAGCTAGACTTTGTATGTTGTTTTAGATGCCAGCTGTATGATAAAATGAATAAAAACACATATGTTTTTCCAAGAAGCCCGACATGTACTCCTATATTCTAACAAACCAACTTTTTTTTAATGAACATATGATCACAAATTGTTGATTATCACAAGCTGTTGATATATAATTACAGTAAGAAAGTCAGTTAACATAACTTATACTTGATCTAAATAAGTAGGTAATCACCATTAGTTGCTTCTGTGAAGGATTAGAAATAATGATGTGAAGATTACCTGAAGAGAATGAAGTATTGTAGACCATAGAAAAAAGATCATCACATGAAGAATTGGTAAACAAAAATACAAAATTTTATAGACAACTTTATTAAACAGTTACCACCTTAATAATACATAAGAATTACTACATTAAAGGGGCAAAAATACAAATAGTTGCTGATCATTATGATGTGCTTCCTAATTATTTTTTAAAACATAAGAACCTCCCTCCTGCTGTAGAAAGTTGAAAACCAAGGAGCACAAACAAGCAGTATTCAAACAGAATCCAGCATTAAAAAGAAAGAAGACTTTTTAAAAAAATAAATAAAAAGAAAACTAAGGAGTACACACATCAAGAAGCATAATTTTTTAGGTTCACTGCCCAGGGAACAAAACAATGTCACCCTTAAAACTGAGAAAAAGATCAAGCATTAAAGAAGCTGAGGAATCACATGTACAAAATCCAGGAGAGAAGCCCATTTACAACTGCATTTCATATCCAATTCTCCTGACTGTTTTTGAAGGTAGCAGTCTGAGCTAAGATTTATGTTCATATGTCAATGCAGAAGAATAAAAAAAATGTTTACATCAAATAGTCAATAACTGCAAAGTCTGCAGACACCAATGCTGTCCCTTGCTTAGCAATAAAGCCTTGTGAGGTCTAACTATGGAGCAGGAGCTTAATTAATTGATCATTCTACCAGATGCCTCCAACCAACTTCGAAGATAGGGGACAGCTATATATAGAAAATTTTATTACAGCAGCAAGAATACAATTCCAGCCCATTTGTAGCTGACTGCAGAGGATCCCAGGAACTGCTTACAGTGCAATACAAAACCACAGTCCCAGTTTATAACTTATTCCTGCCTTTTCCTCTCCTGTTAAAACAATCTGCCAATAGTAATAGCAGGGAAAAGAAATCAATAAGGCATGTTTTCTATCTGCACTGTGGTGATCATAGGCTTGAGCAAGATTTGAAAGTAGGTCACAGCATCTGTCTTTTACTTGTTTTTGATACAGTAAGTGCAATGAGCTTGTGGACTAAGTTTTCTGAGTTGCACTCACAGGCTGGATGCTGACTCTGCTTTTTCAGGAATGATTAAACCCAAATAATTCTCCCTTTCAAACACAGAAAAGATTCATGCAATGTTTCCCAACAGAGCCCTGTTGGAGGCTGAGCATCCTCAATTCCAGTATAATTGATAGCACACTACACCTCTCATATTTGGCAATAAGGAGGCAAAGCTAAGAAGAAAGTATTAGATATTCATAGTTTTCTTTTGTACCCTCACACGTTTTTTATCTGTACGCTTAACTATCATCTACTGATGGTTATGTGTTTAGTTCTGTGAACCTACTCGAGATCTCAGTAATGGTGCCTTACTTGCTTGCCTTTAACCACTCCAAGAAGTGCTCCCATGGTCTTAATGATATGCCAGGTGAGCATCAGGTTTTCCAAATATTATGTGAATTTAAAAAAGGAAATATGTTTTTTAATTTCCTGGATATGTTGTTAAACTGTAAACTTAACATTGTAAATTACTTCTTTGGAAAAAAACCCAACATATTGGAGACTGTTTTTGTGACCTCTCATAAGGTGCAGTCAGGGAACACTTCAGGTGAGCCTGAAGGGTATACTTGATTGCTTCCTTTTCAGCAGCCTAATCCTTCCACAGGGAAACTAAGATTTCATAATCTAAGAATTTCAATTTAAAAAAGAAATATTCTAACATTTTTAGCTCAGTAATACAGGCTACAGAACAAAGAGTCATATTTCTCCCTCATTTGTGCTAGAACTAAGACTATTCAACAAGTGACACTGGCTTAAAAACGGTACAAATGAGCAGTCAACCATTCCAATAATTAAAAGAACAAGTCTAGCATGAATTCTCACCACTAAAATCTTTTACTATTGTGGATATAATTTTGCTGACTCTGTTCATCAGTTACGCAGTAGTAAATGATTATTTTGAAAGAGGAATTATGCATCTCTATAGATTTTGTCCTGCTCTAAATAACCAGACGGCTTTCAGAGCCAGCATGGCTCTGTCAGCCTTGCAGGAGCTCCAAGAAATCTTTGGACTGAGATAAGTTTGGCTCTTTACCAGCTCTTACGCAATTCAGATGTGCAGCAAGCTCCTTCAGAGCCAGCTAGATGGTAAAAGGAAGAGCACTAACTGTCCGTCAGTTGTGAAATGGCTCCTGTAGTTTTGCAACAGTTTCTCAAGTCTGCATAAGTCAAACAGTGAGCCTAACTATTACCTAGTGCATATAATAATCCTGATCCTACGTTCTCCTTCTACCCTGTGTTTTGCCTTGTCTTATCTTTTCAAACAATGAGTAATTTCATATAGGGAACCTCTGCAGGGACAAGACTATTGTCCCACATACTCCTGTGCTCAGAACTGTCCCTGCTACTCTTCACCTGCAAACTGAGTCAGGAATTGCCCCCTTAGTGAACCAAAGAAGCATGCAAGTCCTTTGGAAACTTGTAATCACAATGCAGGCACCATTATACAAGCAGTTCAAATGTCATAACCCTTTTAATGAGACTCTGCCTTATAAGAAGTGACAGAAAATTTGCACCCAAAGTAGCAAGGGAAAAAAAAGAAAAAGTAAACAAGCAAACATTTGTCATTTTCACCCTCAAAATACTGTGAGCAACCCTGATCAGAATTGAAAGCAAGAGCCTTGTAGTTCTGAGTGTTATGAATTACTCCCTGGCCCTTGTTCACAATGTTCTTAACTCATATCTATACTGTTAGAAATGCACTATGAGGGAAAGATGCAAAATATGACTTTGCAACAATGACAAACCTCATTTTTGTGGAATATTATTCCAAGGAAATGACAAAAAGTATTCCAGACAAGGGAGCATATACTATTCAAAAAATTATTTAAAAGCCCCTGGTCACATGGAGTTGGAAGGAGTAATTTTAAAGTGAAAAGATAGCAAATAACTTGTGAGATGAAATAGCTTGAAAGACAATTCCAGTAAATCAATGAGCTTCTTGGAGGGTCCTTCAATGCGATCTTCAGCAATTAATGGAACATGTTACAACCATGTTCCTGAGTATGCTGTCAGGAATAAAGCTGTATATAATAATGGGCAGCAAGTAACACCAATTTTATGCAGTGTTTCTCCGCAGCTGTTCCTGTAAAACTTCTGTTTTGCAGACTAGCTTGAACACGTTCAGATGTTTTCACACACTGGGAGTAATATTTCAAAATGCTAAGTCTCTTACAAAGATGTCAAGCACTGTCAGCTCTCACTGGCCACAATTTCAGGACACCAGTAGTATGCAAGATAACGTCCTGTGCAGATCAGACAGAACAATCAGTAATTTCCAACTGCATACAAGAGTTTCTGTTGTGGAACTCAGGTATGAGAAGTCAGAGGCCTTGGTTTGAACTCCAGCTCTAGCTTCATTTCCCAAATGATGACTGAATTAGAGAAATACATGGCTGTACTCCAAGTCTCTCATAGAATACATACCCATTGATGGGTTCCCCCAGATAGACCTGAAACAGTAGTGGGCAATATGCAATGACAAGAAAAAAATCTTTGTAAACTGTGTGAAGACCACTGATCTAAGCTTCCTCCCACTGGCACATTAGGAAATTAATAAATCATCCTTACAGTTCTGAGAGTAAGACAGGAAAGAACCACATACACAAAAAGCTGTTCCTACCTTCTGTTTGAGCTCACTGCTTTCATTGATGAAACAATCTCTCTCCTTCTCCAGTTGGTAAATAATCTTCCTTTGTTTCTGAGCTTCATTCTTATAATTTTGGATTTCTTCTTCCAAGTTCTTCTTTGACTGTTCATGGAGCTTCACCAGATTGATCTGCTTCTGGGTGGCACTGGTGGCCTTGACCAAGTTCTACAGGGAACACAAAATAATGATTCTTGAGCTGAAAAGGCAACACTGACACCACTATGACAAAAGCATGCCATTGTCTAAGTGGATTATGAACTTCCCAGTGTTATTATTCCTTATCTAATTTGTTCAGCTGAAATACTTAAGCCTCAAATCTGATTTAAAAAAAAAAATATCTCTAACAGAACTGCTAAATCACACTTTTTCTGATTTGAAGTTAAAACACTAGTGTCTGCATTGCAAAAAAATGGCTAAGACTGCAAGTGGATGTAACTAATGACTGGAAAAACCTTACCAGCCTTAAGGCATTTAGACTGCAAAGCGTGACAATAGGCAGCAAAATAAATAATAAAGCCAAATACCCTTCCTTCTCATGTCCTAAATAGCAAGTTCAAACTGAATTTAGCCAAACTTGGTTTAAAATTATGCATAAGGATTAAATAGAAAACACCAAGATATCATCTTTACAAAATCAGCCTTCTGGTCTCATTTTGAAATTTCTTTCCCTATTCAAAACAAGTATTTGTTACCTGCCAAATCTGATCCTCTGCTCGACTCAAGACACAGGACAGTGAATCTATACCAAGTAAAGCACCTCAGAAATCATCTTTTAGCATTGAATTTACTAGATTACACTTCAGGAATGCCCATAAACATGAGATGCTATCCTGCAGTACAAGAACCTCGGACTGATGGAAAACGATCAATATGAGAAATGGACCTAAAAGCAAAGATTAATATTAACACAGCCTGCCAAGTTGCTACGTGGTGCAGCAACATTTTGGTTTGTTCTTTTACTAGCAAAGCCTTAGTTTGCCTAGATTAATATTAAACTTCACACACTTGCACATGCTTTAGATATCAAATAACGGGTTTGCAATAAAAGTGAACACGTAGCATTTTTTAACTCCCTGATGGTTTATATGTTAAAATTTAGAAATCTTTTGTGTGTTTATGGGTACTAACGCTATTTCAATGCACAGAAAAGAAGCAGTGTGAGCATTTGCTTAAGGAAATCTGAATGCTTCATTTAATGCTATTTATTCTACAACATTTTTGAGTCTCTGTGACTGTTTAAATTACAGACATTTAATTTTCAAGCTGTGAGATTTATCAGTATTATCAATGCAAACTCACCTTGCTTAGCATATCCCTTTCCCTCATAAGCTCATCTACAGCTTTCTTGTCAATCTCCGCCTGCTTTTTGGCAGCCTCCAAATCTAGAGAAAAGGAAGAAAGATAACAAATCCTGGGTTTAAACCGTATAGCTGTTAAAAATGCAGAAATAACGTAGTGAACTTTTAAAAAGCCTTAACATTACATGAACAGTTCAATTAACTGTGATAAGGTTTTGCAAACTCAGGTATCAGTTAATGATGTTAATACTTACTTGGGTACTCAGAAGAACTCAGGCACAGTAATTAATTATATGAGGACTTATTATATTTGGGCGTTCAAACCAAGATAACACAAAAAAGTTGCATTTTCAGAAATGGACCACACTGAAAATTGGAGCCTTTTAAGAAGCTTCAATATGAGCATCCAAAAATGAGGCACTTTCAAAAACAGGGACTTTCAGAATTATTCTAATACCTCCATGTGAAATTCAGTCCTCCTTTGAAGCAGTGAGATTCTACTGAATTTAGTGGAGTTAAAACTACTTGGTATGGGCCAAGATTAACACTGGACACATACTATTAAATAGATATTAAACATTGGAGACATGTTTTCACTATTTTTTAAAATTAATTAAAACCTGCTACACTAACACTGCAACTCAGGAAATGCAGTACATTGGAGAGCTAAGATGTGTCAAATATTGAGAAAAGACATGTTATTAGTAGCCATTCTCAGGCATTCCAGTATAGATTTGAATTTCCTAAACTCCTCTCTCCTTTCTAGTACAGAGCATGACCTTAGGCAGTACTAGCAAAATGCTCCTGTAAAACTCTTCCACCCTCACAGAGATGCATGAAAAACAGACACAACTTTCCATACATACAGTTATATGGAAGGGTTCATATCACATACATGCAATCACTTCAGGACACAAGCTAGAAACAAGCAAGAGCAAGGAGAGGAATTCATGGCAGTATATAGCAACTTGAACTAGATTAAGTTCATAGCAAAGGTGTTTTATCTGCCCCAGAAAGTGAAGTCTCATCAAGTCAAATATTTTTCCAACTTCATGATATTATTTTAGGAAAAAAAAAAAATCATAAAATTTTTTTAGGAAAATCACTTTGTATCTATTTTTATTTCAAAGTATATTTGATTTTGAAATGTATTTGTACTTTACAGTTAAAAAAAAAGAATGAAGTGGTTTTAAATGTGCAAAAATACCCCAAAATTTTATTTTTAAAGTTAAAGAAAATATTTGGTTAGACACAAGGCATTTTCTTCCAAAATTTCTATTTGGCAAAAATGTTGAACGTTCCTTTTTAAAGTTTTCCAGATCTGCTAGCAAGTCAAAGTCAATACTTGGACAGCTTTAGTATCCACACTGACCAGCTGAAATCCTAAACATACCAGAACTAAGTTTATCAGCTCGCTTGCACATGTTCATTTCCAGGCTGTAACTATTCAGCAGATTCAAAGCAGGAAAAAAGTGTGTCCTAACCATGTCTGATTTCAGTAAGCTCTGAGATTGCTTCTCTCTCACAGGTCAGCGCAGGAGCAATGAAGGTGCCCTGGCGGTGACTCTCTATGTGACATGGCACAAATTGGCACACTACAAAGTTCAGTTATGTCTGTTGTATTTTCACCCCACATACGCTACATTATGAAAATTCTGTAAGCCTATAATGTTTTAAAAAGCTGTAGATTCTAACTGTCATTTATACAGTCTCATACTAGACACTAAAACAGAATGATCCTAACAGGGGGATATACCCTGAATTAACAGATTACGAATCAGAAGACAAATCCAGCCATCAGCTAGACGCCTACCTCTCTCCAGTCCAGATATTTGATTTTTTAGGGTGTTTTTCTCATGTCCTGCATCAACTTTTTGTTCCTCTGCAACACGCAGCTTATTCTGGAGAACATCTCTTACTTTATTCAGCTTTGAAATTTCAAGGCGCATCTGAGTGACTTCATCATCTCTGGTCTACAGAACAGCAACAAGGGGAGAGAAGATATCCATAGAAAGAAAATAACCTCTGTGCTTGGTTTATATTTATCCCATGAAACTCAGGAAGCAAAGGTGTAAGTGCTGTGGGTCACCTGAGAGAAGATAATTAGCTAGATGAACAATATTAAAACTAATTTAAGCAAAGACATCTAGGGCAAGGAAAATGATAATCAAATATTATTCTTTAAGGCTGAAGATGGTCAATAAAGGATCTCCAGCTGCAGACCTCACACAGTACTACCCAATTAGTCCTGTAGATTAAACACGGGCAGCTCTAATTTCCTTTGAAGTATTAAGGACAGTGACTCTGATGAGAAAGATATTTGTAGTGTAGTCTGATTGCATGTCCCTAGTAGCAGGTATCTGTTATTCCCACCTCTTTTATAATCTATGGTTTTAAAGAAAAAGCAAAATGTAGACTTTGTCTCATTTGCTATACAATCAGAGGAGAAAATAAACAATCAAAACACTGCATAAGTGGTTACCAGGAAACATAAACAATAATTACAACATAAATTAGTCTTTTTCCTTTTACAAAGTAAATATAACTTCCTCATTTAATTCAGTGCCACTGTTAGGTTTTGCAGTCATCACAGACTAGTGTTCCACTTACAGCCTCAGATACTGATTCTGTGAGATGGTGAATCCTGCTATGTGAGTATCTTCTGGGAGGATATGAATCTCCTCAATTCTTAGTGATGATAGCCTTCAAGAGAGTTATGAATACTTTCCCAGTTTGGGCTGCCCAACACCCTGGTGGAGGCACTCAGCCCATTGCAGGATGAAACTGAAAGCACAGTGCCTACAAAAAAGACATCTCGGATCATGACTAGGGCTCTTAGAAGCTTCAGCAATTGGTTTAATTACTAACTGGGCAGTATCTTCTATTTTTTTGTTCCCAGAAGTCCATATGCATGGCTACAAGTTCCATCAACTTTTGAAGTTAGGATAAGATCACAGAATCAAAACCTTCCTTTTGACACTCTAGAGCCCTAAATGTAAGTCACATTTGAATACATTGTTTGTGAAGTTTTAAAGAATTATGGTATTGCAAGAGGTAGTGATAAATCCAGATAACCTGAAAAAGACAGTAATTTGTTTTTCAAATAGGTAAGAAAACTATCCTCCAGTCTGCCTAACCAAATACAATAGAAAACAAGCTCCCACCATACAGCCCATTAAGGATCCAAATCAGAATCATCTGTGTTATATTAGTTATGAACTGAGTTTTTAATCTGTCAGTGGTTCGTTTGTATCATTCTGACTAACAGTTCCCATTAAAAAAAAAAAAAAAAAAAAAGCTCTCTATTGACAGTCTGTCTTTTTATTTGTGTGAATTGGTTATACTTGACCAAACCGTGATAAGATAATGATTTTCTACCTGAATTTTCTAATGTTTACTGCTTTAACCCCAATGATGATACAAAATGCAAGATACAGGAGACAGATTAATAACGTTTAAGACTTATACATTACCCTTTATCACAAATGCTTTCAAAGTACCCTAAAAAACATGCAGGAATCATTTAATCCTTCCCCAGCTGAAACTCCCTGACTTCTGAGTGGTACAAAACAACTGTTAAACAATGTAAAGTCATGCAAGAAAACCATTTAGAAAATAAACACCATCTTGTTTACTTATATTTAACTTCCCCAACTGATACTGTGGGGGGAAAATTTTACTGTTGGAAGCAACTACCTTCAGTGGAAGCTATCCAGGATGCTGTCATTATAATTTATTAACATTTTTCAATGGGTTTTGGCAACATTCCAATTATGTTAATCACTGTAAGAAAGTTGTTGCTCTTATCTGAAAATCTCACAATTGACAAAAGACCTTATGCTTGTCAAAAGTACCATGCATCCTTTATGAACACAATGTGTTGAGCATTTTGGTTCATTTTTTTTAAGGGACCTCGACAGGCTTGAGAGGTGGGCCCGTGCAAACCTCATGAAGTTCAACAAGGCCAAGTTCAAGGTCCTGCACATGGGTTGAGGCAATCCCAAGCACAACTGCAGGCTAGGCTAAGAGGGGGTTGAGAGCAGCCCTGTGGAAAAGGACTTGGATGTATTGCTGGATGAAAAACTATGATTCAATAGTGAGCACTCACAGCCCAGAAAGCCAGCCGTATCCTGGGCTGCATCAAAATATGCATGACCAGCAGGTTGAGGGACACCTCAACTGCTCCCATGACACCCCACCTCCCGTGCTGTGTCCAGCTCTGGGGCCCCCAACATCAGAAGGACATGGACCTGGCTCAAGCAGGTCCAGAAGAGGCCTCAAAGATGACCAGGGGGCTGGAGCACCTCCCTGTGAATACAGGCTGAGGGGGTTGGGGTTCTTCAGCCTGGAGAAGAGGAGGCTCCGGGGAGACCTTATAGCAGCCTTCCAGTACTTAAAGGGGGCTACAGGAAAGATGGGGAGGGACTCTTTATCAGGGAGTGTAGTGATAGGACAAGGGGTAAGGGCTTTAAACTGAAAGAGGGTAGATCTAGACTAAATGTAAGGAAGAGATTCACTGTGAGGGTGGTGAGGCACTGGCACAGGTCACCCAGAGCAGCTGTGGCTGCCCCCTCCCTGGAAGTGTTCAAGGCCAGGTTGGACGGGGCTGGGAGCAACCTGGTCTAGTGGAAAGTGTCCCTGCCCGTGGCAGTGGGGTTGGAACTAGATGGTTTTTAAGGTCCCTTCCAACCCAAGCCATTCTATCACTCATTCTATGATTCTGTCTGCTTTCTGAAACTCAGCTCCTCCAGCAGGACGGGTGCTACACTGTCAGGTGAAAGGGTTGGAGGCTGAACCATGTCACAGAAAGAATGGCATCCAGTGACAGCCAGATCTATTCCTAAGAACTCTTTGTGTTTCTTCCAAAACTACCCATAGGGAACTATCAGCACAAGAACTGAGGTCATCCCTGTCCCAGGTGGTAAGACTGCTGTCAGAGTGATATGGCTGATAGGAGGCATGCACCTTCGGGTACTTACTTTCAGTTCTGTTGTCTTCTGCTGGATGTCCTGCATCACCTCTTCAAACATCACACTGTGCTGCTCACTCTCTTGCATGAGCTTATTATTTCTCATCTGCAATTGCTCAAGTTCCTTACCAGCTTTTTCATTCAAGATCTGTTATTAAAGAACAATCCTATTAATTCTTTTTAATCTCATTGCAATATCTACATATATATGAAGACAGAATCTTCCATCTCCCCAGGAGATAAAAGCTGCTACAGATTGTTGTCTGCTTAAAACCCACTCTTCATTGCTGCTGAAATTACTAATATGAAATATGATACATGTTCATATTGACTAGGGGAAATGATAATTTCTAATGAATAACACAGCCAGTGTAATTTTTTTTTCTGGGAGCTTAGCAGGTCTCTCTTGCAGGTGGTAGATAAATATTTTACTTCTTGTTAGGCATTTGGCAAGCATCACATAACACAACCTGCTACATATAATTACTGAAAATGAGTATGAGCTTCAAATTATTTCAATCAGCAGAGGGCAGGGAAGCTCTGTTTCTTAGCAAGCAAAGTCTACATTAATATTCTGATAACATTTCTCTGGGTACATGGTTTGCTGAGACCATGACACAATCATTTTCCTCTCTAATTTGTTTCCAGTTAAAAGCCCAGAAGAGCAGTTTCATGGTTTCTATTGGAGAACATATACTTCAATACTGGAGCTGCCAGTCTCTTCTTCTGCTTGATGGGACTTCCCCTAACAGATATTACTCCAAAAGTGAGAAAAGAACAGCCATCGTATTTTTCACTTCAAGAATTAATGTGTGATAAACTGATGAAGTCAATATTTACTATGCCCTTAACAAACATTAAAGGAAGAGAAGTGGAATCTCCCTCTTCTGAATGCATGCAGAAGCAAAGACAATGTAAAACAAATTTTAGGTGAACTATTGGTTTCCAGCATAGTTTGGACAATTGAATGTCCCTAAAATCTTCACTTAGAAGGGTTGGTTGAAAGGGACCATAGAAAGGAGGAGGAGGAAAAATGGACCAGAACCAGGAATTGTAGACATCCTATTTAAAACCAATATGATTGTCCTGGCAGATCATGGAACTGCCCTTAAAAGCTGAATCAAATCGGTGATATGCAGAGAAATAATCAAGTCTTCTCTGTATCTTTTTATGTGAAGTATTTTACTAAGACTCTATGTTGACAAAAAATTGTCACAGACCTCTACCTTCACAAATTCAGAAACCTGACGGGAAGAAAAAGACATAAAAGTCATAAATTTACAGTATACACACAACTCCCAAAGAAGTTTCCCTTGAGGTAGGACTGTTTTACAGTGATGAGATCTCCCCTGCCATTTACTGAAATTGCTTCTCTGAGAGTTTCTCAAAGTCAAGGGAAATGGACTGAAAACCTGAAAATTCAGACACTTGCAGAACACTATGTTAGGACATTTCCAGATAAAGTTTTTAGAAACAGAATGGGGAAAATCAATCAAAAAGGTTTACGAAGACAGTTCTCTGCCCTTTCACAGAAACTCTTCCACAGGCTTGAGAGGTAGATAAAAATTATTGTGACAGAGAAGAAAGAAGGGGTGGGAAGTAAAATGACTTTACCATTGCCACTACAGTCAATCAGTGGCAAAACTGGCAATGTACGTCAGAAGTCCAACCCAGCAGTCTCCCGTTACTATCATTAGATCATCCATGCTCTTCACAGACTTTGTCTCATTTGCTCTGATCTTTTAAAGATGATCTCTAACAACATCACTGAAACCCACAACTGATTTCTGTGAGGAAATCTATCTGAAATCTGCCAGCAATCTTTACATGTTTATTTATTAGTAAAATAATATTTATATAAAAATAAATATTTAACAAAATGTATTGAATTAAAATAATCTCTCACCCTCTCCCTTCAGGAAAATCCATTTTCTTCTTCTTATGACATCTGACCCTAATGTTAGACCTTATGAACACAGTGTGCCATGTACCCTACCTTCTGCTCTTTTAGATGCTGTTCCATTTTCAGTTGTTCCTCTTTGTTCTTCTGTATATGTTGCTGTAAATTCTTGATCTCAGCTTGCTTGTTATCCATTTCAGCTAGAAGATTTTTCAGGTCCTTCTCCATTTTTTCCTTCTTTCGAGCCTCACGCGATGCCTCATTCTGATGCAGCTGGATTTCTTGCTGAAGCTATAATAATAGAGAAGACAGAAGTTTTAAGTTATGCTACCTTTTATTCAGGAAAACAAGGCCTCTCACCTCTCTTTCTACTACGTTTGATTTTGAAAGCAACAGCTTGTATAGTACTATTCCCAATACTACATGGAATATGTCAGATGTTCTCAGAAGTAAATATGTTCTCTAGTAGTTGAACAAAAAGTCCTCTATGAGGGAACCTATTTATTGGTGACAAGAATTTGTAAGCACCGGTCAGTTCACCCACACATAAGGGCCTGATACAGTTCAGACATAAAAGCATTCCTCCCAAGTTGCAGTAGCACAAATGTATTTTCAGTTGTAAGTTACTTGTAAAGTGGTACTTTCTAAATGCAGCATTAAAACTAATTAGGGCTTGATGTTGTATTGCAAGGCTTTTTATTTTGATTTTTCTATCTCACCAGCAGAAACATTTATTACACTGATAGTAAAGGAAAGAGAGAGACATCAGATCAGTGTTCGTTTACACAACTGCTCTCAGTCTTTCTGCTCTCAAAGTTCCACTGTGGGAACTTTGAAATAGGAGCTTTCTCTCATATTTAATAGACTGTCCTATGACTTCTGCTCTCTCCTTCCCCAAAAATGTGATGGAGAAGAATCAGCAGAGAGGAGACACAGGGATCCACATGGAAATACTCATTCCAGCCAGGGACCAGCAATATAAAGATGTTCTTCTCTTAAAGATTCTTCTCCCTATGAGCCCACAGATTAAAAGTTGCCAGAACTGACAGGGTCTTCAACAGGATCTTCAAAAACACGCTGTCATTTAAGCAGTCTGAAGTGGGGAATAACTTCATACTGGGAGAATGGGAGGTGGTTACAAGTGCTGTAACAATCCCATAGATTTAGGGGCTGATGAAGTCAGTATCCAAAGATTAAGGCTGGCAAGATTCAATAAGTTTTGACGGGAGTTTCAATTCTCTCTCTTTCCTCCCATGCCCACAATGCTGTCAGAAAAGCAAAGATTTATATTCTCTTGTAATACATTCCCACCCATCTGCTTTAGAAACAGAAACGAGTTATGTGCATGAAACCTAGACTAATAATTAATTTCCTCTTTGTGATTAATAAAAATCCGAGCTGAATGCTGTGTCTATCTCTTCTCTGTTCTTTAAGTGTTTTCTGATTTTCCTTTCTCTTTTGTCTTGCTTCAGTCTCTATTTATTCTGCTTTAAATTATTTTATTCCACATTATTATGTTTTTATATTTTGATGTATCAGAGTTCTGTATCTCATCTTCCATTGTTTTCTACTTTCTCTTCATTCAGTGGTTATCCTATTGATCCTATTGATCCTTGGTCTTCTGTATCTCTAGCTGCTATACACATTTAAAGGGTCAGTAAGGAACTGCCTACTCAGATTGTCAGAAAACCAGAAAACATAACTTAAAGAGGAGACAAAAAAATAAAAGCAAAGATGAGATGGAATATGACTGGTCTATACAGATACTAGTGAGGTGACAGATTATTTAAACTGAAAAACAGTAGGCAAGAATCAGTGTGAAGAAGAAAGTAGGAGGTCTCTAACTATTAGAAAAGTGAGGTTCTGGAAAAGCTTGCCATAACAAGAAGGGGAGAAAATAGCCTAATTAGCTTTTAAGTCAGAATTTGATACATTCTTCAAAATTATGGTATGGCATCATATGACAACCACCAACAACAGCAAGGGACCTAGGATCTCCATTCCAGGTCTATGTTCTAAGTGGTTCTTTGGAGGCATAAGGATTTATGAAAAAACCACACATCTCCAGTATGAAAGATAACTGTGATTCAGGCAAAGGAACCTTGGCCTCATTCAGGGTATTGGGAAACAATGGAAGCAGCTGGTACATGACAATACACTTTGCAAAAGACATAGCCTAGAAGTAGAGGAAAATAGAAAAATCATTCACAACAGAATCCTTTCTGAGCACTCCTGAAAATGTCTGAGATGTGAAAGAACGGGTAGTAGCATACTAGTCAATGGAGATCAATTGCAACAGTGGAGAATGGTTCAGGACAAAGCCAAAAATCACCACCCGGTGATCTGTACAGACCTGCATAATGGATTGATCTGCCTCATTTTTTGCCCTCTCTGCACCCTGCTGCTGCTCTGTGGCTTGAGTTAGACTTTGACGTAACTTCACGACCTCTGACAACAGTTGGTCTCGCTCCTTTGTTACCTCTTCTTTAAGTTTTAGCAAATCCTGGATACTGGAAGCAAAGAAATAATAGTCAAGCAGTGTCACAGGCCATTTCTGTTCTTCTTCCTATGCCAGAGCAAGATCTTTTGTGAGAAACAGGAATTTAAAAGTAATGTGTTTTATTTTAAACTCCTCTTGGATTAAGGCTCTGATGGTCAATTGAATTATATGCTCTATCTACTCTGATCTTAGTCACCATCAACATAGGCAGCATTAAAAGATAATCTAGTCCAATAAATCACTCTTTCTTGTTATATCACATCTCCACAGGTCTGAAGAAACCTTCAGTTTCCCAAAAAGGTAACAGGGAACAAAATTCCTGCATTTCTCTATGCAGTTTGCCTGACTGGGCATCTAACTAGGTTATGTCTTACAGTCACCCAATGCAAGAATAAAACAGACTCCCTGTTTGAACACATTTAAAATCTGAAAGAAAGTCCAAGCAGTGTGGATTCAAGCTCAACCTTAAAAACAAGCCTTATGCTTCTAAAAGACTATAGGGTTTCAGCCCTACAGGTTTAAAAACCTGAAAAGGAGTTTTCTAGTCCCACTGCTTTGTCACTGGACAGGTTAAGCATGGAACTGGAGGGCAATTACAGAAGGAACTTTAAGAAGAAATTGTAAGTAGTCAGGTCTCAGCAACCTGGGCAGCAGCTGGAAATGGCAGGAGTGAGGTCTTGGCAAAGTAACTGCTCCTGGCTCTTGCAGGAAAATGCCAAAAGCAACCACAGCAATTTGCCTTTAGGGAGAGTTATACTAGGGAAAGGCTTAATGGCCAAGCTTTTAGATCCAAGGAAACCTGTTACACAGGTCCAGAACACTTCAGGGACTAAAGGTGAAGGAGTGGCTTTCTCATGCATCCAGGTGGTTTATGTGCTGGCACCTTCCTCGGAGGGGAAATGTTTGAGCATGCTAAAGGCCTTGATCACAGACACAAATCTTATTTATGCGGCCTGGATAAACAGTGCATGGGGAGATGAGCATGTCCCATACATATCCTGAATTCATAATATAAATAAATACCTTACACAGTGTGAAAATTTCAAGCCAGAACCAGCTGGCCAGGCCATCAGCAATCTCGATAGAAAGCACACAGGTCATAGGGTCAATATACTTAATCTCATTTTGAGTTTACACTTAATCTTACAGCATAAGCACAGTCTGAGGACCTAATACTACAAACACTAGCTTTTGGAAGGCTTTTGAGCAACTGCTGAGGATCATTATTATTTGCACACTGTAGTGGCTAGAGGGTCCACCCAAGACTAGGTCCCTCTATGCATAAGTGTTCATTAAAAAAAAAAACATAGTCTTGAAAATGTATACATATAAAATACAAACAAGAATACAGATAGCAATAATGCCTTATAACCAAGCTGGGAACAGAAGAGAAATCAAGTCTCCTGCTTCCTTATCTACTTGACCCTGCTGCCATCACATGTAAAAAAGTTGACAGGATCCTATTCTCAAAGACAAAGTATGTTGACATGCTAGTCAGATAAAACAATATGACAGATACTGAGAAAGTGCATAATATCGATTTTTATTTGATCTCTCAGCTTAATCCAATGCTGAATGAACTCAGTCAGAGCCTGATTCTGTGCTTGCTTACTGCATAAACACATAGACCAATAAATGTGCACTCATGAGAAAAGTAAAAGGCAGAAAAGACCTCTCTTTCTGTTTTCCACTGTCTTTGTAGTGTCTAAATGGCTAAACAAGGTGTAGAATGATAGAAAAACAGATCAGGCTTTCTCCCTCCCTGAGGAAAACTTACTTGTACTCCTGTCCCAGCGACAGTCCAGATCCTTGATCCACTAAATTAGTTAGGCGCGTAATTTCCTCTTGAAGTGAATTAATTGTTTCCTTTGCTTTCTGTTCCTTTTCATAGGCTGTATCCACCATTTTCCAGGCCTTTTCAATCTCCTAGAAGCAAAATGTAAAACAATTACATAAATAAAATTGGGTTGAAAATTAACAACAAATTAAAAATTAATTGCCTTGCATTTTGGTTAATTAAAAAAATAGATTTTCATGCCTTTTCATGCTTAGATTCACAGTTTTCTTCACTAGTTAGTTGTATTTTCTTTTGGGTGAGAGCATAGAAAACATTCTGAACCATTCAGGCTCTGTCAATTTACACCACAAAAGCTCTAATACATTTTCTTTAACCCATAGATCTGAACATTATCAAATCTCACTCTATGAGGTTTTGGTCATGTGAGTCCCAGTAATATCTAAAAATGTACTGAAAATTCAGCGCCCACAAAAGTACCATCTACTTAAATAGCTCACTTATGTCTGTAAAAATCTTATTAGCTGTTATGACAATGAATATCCAATTTGATTTGGATGAGAAAAAGATGTTACTTGGGGCTTTTCTCCCTCTTTGTTCATTTTCATCTGTGAGGACCTAGTGTATTTTGATTTTAACTATATATTTAGACAAGTCACAATTCTCATGCCAAATTTCAGCACATGGAATTAGTTGAATAACAGACTTGTGTGCCTCTCACAAGCCCAGGGTTTGATATCCATAAACAGGATAGGGGAGGAGGTTTCAGTTGATTTTTTAACTTCCTCTGCATCTCTCTCCCTTGAATCACATCCTTAAGAATCACACAGCAGGCTTATTCCTTGCCAGGTTCAAACCAAGCTCCCATCAGTTCTGGAATCCTGTGCTAAAAAAAAATGCAGAAATCCCGAAAGCAACTGGACTGGAAGAAAAGTTCCTGAAGATTCAGTAAATAATGCAGACACTGCTTTTGATACTACAAGTCCCTGAGCTGCAAATCACAGCATGATGTCCTCTCTCTCTCATGCTCTTTTCTCAGCTGGCTCCTGGTGGAGTTCTGGACTTGATGGACTTGAACAGATTTAGACTCCAAGTATGGCTGTGCAGCTCTACATCAGCTCTAGGGTCTCCCCAAGCAGAAACATATAGAAGAATCATTACATCAAGCCATAATATCCTTTTCAATCCTTACTTCCATCATACAAAAATGGGGCAGGGAAAAAAATAATTAAAAAACAACTCCACAATGAGGAATATCAAATGATTTCATTTACATCAAATTGTTTACAGTAATTTTTTATTGAAATTAACATCTCTGGTTCTAAAAAAAATCCTATTTAACATTAAACTCAAAATTATGACACCTACATTATGGTATATTTTTAATATATTTATTGAAATCTTTTAAATCAAATAAATGGAGTACTTAGCTGTTTACTGCCTAAATTAAAAACTCAAGCTACCAAACTAGCAAAAGTAACAGGCTACCAGAATTTGCTTAAAAGATAACACAAAACACAAAATATAACATCTGCAGCCTCTTCAAACTGGAGAGGAAATACATTTTCTTTTTATTTATTGAATTAGTTCAGCACATCTAAATTTGAGAAACCATCTGGAACTTAAAGATCAGGAATGTTTGCTCTTCTTTTTTTTTCCCAATCTATTAATAAAGCGTTAAACAATGGGCTTTACTTGCTCAGAAATTCACTACCTACAAACAGTATTTTCATTACTTAATAAAGTACTTAGTTCAAAATTTAGTTTGAAAAATGTGCTTTTCACTTATGTATCAAGCATATTTAAACAGTTTTAAATATTAAAGTCAATTTTTATGTTTTATACATTTTGAGTTCTAATTTCCATTCAAATGCAGCAGCAATCATACATAAAGTATTAAGTATCATCTAGTAAATAATAAATTTTTCATTCATTATTATCTTACATAAAAATGTTCAATTATGAAATTTAAATATATGCACACTAGGCTGAAATAATGACATGAAGACATACTGTATTAACTTGACAGGTAGAAAAGCGTAACATATAGCTGTAAATAAACTGTTTGCCAACCAATGAGAATCAACCAACCTTTCTCTAGAAAAATGCAAATGGAAAATAAGATTAAAGCTGATTACTTAAATCAAAGCTTTCTGCTGGCTGATTAGACTGTGATTAAAATTGGTGATTAAATCATTACGATTGGAGTTTTGGGGGATAGAACTGGTGAATAAAATCAATATGACCTCTAATAGGTCTAATAGGCTTCAGTGAGTATTTTGTTTTGGTGAGTGTTTGCAAGACTGATCCCCCAAAGTCAATGAGGCCATTCAGATAAACAGTGATTTCAGGTCACCCTAAGCTGTGCTTTTTCACCTTTATCTTGATTTTGATATGCAAAACAATTGTAATGAATTTCTATTGATAAAAACAATTTTTATCAATAAAGTTAGCAGGCACAGATGATGGCCTATTAATAAGTAAAATCTAAATAAGCATTTGCTGCAGACTTCGGCATCAGAAAAACTGGGCTTCACTGTAGTTGTTTCTTGGTTGTGTCTTTTACTTTGAATAGTGGATCAACAGATTGCTTCCTTTAACCTCAAAAGTAAAGAGGAGGAAATTTTTGATGGTGAAAGCCTTCACTGAAAAAATATTCACATTATTACTCAGTGCAGAGGGGAACTGAAAGAATGCAATATGTCAGCATCAGTGGGCAATTGCAGTACATAGTTAGGTAGGTAACATGCACTGCAGTCCGTTGATGAGAAGCTCAGCAGGAGCCAGCAATGTGCACTCACAGCCCAGAAAGCCAGCCGTATCCTGGGCTGCATCAAAATATGCATGACCAGCAGGTTGAGGGACACCTCAACTGCTCCCATGACACCCCACCTCCCGTGCTGTGTCCAGCTCTGGGGCCCCCAACATCAGAAGGACATGGACCTGGCTCAAGCGGGTCCAGAAGAGGCCACAAAGATGACCAGGGGGCTGGAGCACCTCCCTGTGAATACAGGCTGAGAGGGTTGGGGTTCTTCAGCCTGGAGAAGAGGAGGCTCGGGGGAGACCTTATAGCGGCCTTCCAGTACTTAAAGGGGGCTACAGGAAAGATGGGGAGGGACTCTTTATCAGGGAGTGTAGTGATAGGACAAGGGGTAAGGGCTTTAAACTGAAAGAGGGTAGATCTAGACTAAATGTAAGGAAGAGATTCACTGTGAGGGTGGTGAGGCACTGGCACAGGTCACCCAGAGCAGCTGTGGCTGCCCCCTCCCTGGAAGTGTTCAAGCCCAGGTTGGACGGGGCTGGGAGCAACCTAGTCTAGTGGAAAGTGTCCCTGCCTGTGGCAGGGGGGTTGGAACTAGATGATCTTTAGGGTCCAACTCAAACCATTCTATGATTCTATAATTAAAGACAGAAGTACACTGGATGTTTGCATTTGGAATCATTAAAAAAATTTTGGAAAAGTGTAAAGTACTGGATCTCTGGAAATTCTGAAGCATTCATTAAATACCCCAAAAATCACATCAATTCCACTGCTCAGAAACTGAGAATTACTGAAATGCTTTCTTAGTATATTGGATTGATACCCCTGGAAATTGAAAACTTGGTAATTCCAAGCAGAGCAGTACAAGCTCCTATAAATTCCTCTTACAGCATTCTTCCAGTGCAGCCTTCTGAATCAGTATCCTTTACAACGAAAAAGAGAACTGTATTCCCTTTGTGTTCATCTTGGCCCCTTGTTCCTTTGATGTGACTGTAAACAGCAGACTGTTATGTCCAGTTTATTAAAACTAGAGCAAATAACAAAACAGAGCACTGAACAACCATCAGACAGTTAACAGCCATTGATTATTACTGACCTGGGTCCTACCAGCCACTGATCTGTCGTTAACCTCTGCCCCTAAACAAATCCTACTGATTACAACCAGGCTTCGAATGGAAAAAAACTTTGCTTCTGCAAGTGTTACTTGTATATGAAACAATGACCTAGAAAAGGAAGGCTGTACACCTGTTATCCTGATGACCCAGAAAGTCACCAAGATTAGGGACTTAATTTGAAGCAACTATACCATTTTTACAGGAACAGCCCCACCAGGATAATAAAACAGCGGAACGGATTGTTTAATTTAGCAATGAAAAATATAGTATTTTCTATTTTAGCACTTGAACTTTCCTCAATACTTGCCTTGGGCACTTGCAAAACACATTTTTTGAATGTTAGTAAAATTGTAGTGAAATACTACAGCTGTAATAGAACTTCCCTTCAGAAAGGAGAATAACATGAAGGGTATACCAAACAAAACCCCAAAACATGACAGGAATATCTTAAACAATATCAAAAAAATTCCTGGACATTTAAGGGAAAGACTAATTCTCATTACCAAACTGAAAAAGTGTCAGTGCTGTTTCTTGGCTCACAGCACTCCATTAAAATTGAAATGTCACATGTTGTGCATTGCATGCTCTTTCTAATAGGTTCACAATGTCAAGCAGCTTTTTCACTACAAAATCTCCTAGTTAGTTCAATAGTAGGTGGTATTGTTAAGCCATACCTTGCCTAAGCTTCAAATTAGCTGCTGAAATTGGAAAGGCTCTTATTTTTCCTATTATTCTGCTCCTCAGTTTTATGACATTACTAGGACAATGTCTCCTCAGCTTGGGAACATCTTGAAGGATTATCTCTCCTAGTGTTCACAGAGTATTGCCACGTAATAGCAGAAAAAAAAAAAAAAAAGTAAGTATCACTGCAGTTCCTGACACCCACCTGTCAGGTTTTGATTAGCAGCAGTGAAAATCAGTAAGATTTTCTATGCGGTTTTCCTCTTCCTTGAGGATGCTTTGAGTAGTACCATGGGTTTACAAACTGCAGCTATAGGATGACAGCACTGCTATTTATATTTATTCTGAGTCTATTTTCTTCATAATTCCAAAGACAAGAAATTTAGTTTCAAAGTACTTCTATTTCTGTAGTGTTCATAGATCACTCTGAATAGTTAACACTGAATTTATTTACTGGAACAAAGCACTTTATTGTTAGGCATGGAGGTTTCTCAACTAAATGCTAAATTAAAGTCTGTCTAGGTACCACAGCCCAAGTTTTTAAGCCATCATAAGGAAGAAGGTTCAAAATACAGTCTTCTGATCATTTGGCAGCTTTAAGATTCTAGTAGGCAAACCTCACTGTAAAGCTAAAAACATGGGCTGTTTTTAGCAACTCAAGCACTTTGATTTGACAGAGTTCAAATCAATAATAACAAAGAACATGTAAGAGTAAATTGGTAAAATCCCGTTGAAATGTTTTATAGGATTCCTTTTCAAAAACACAGTGAAACATTTATTTATATGAGTTAATGACACTTCCCTGGTCTACAATCCATATTTCAGCAGATAGGTAGATTTTTTAATGTTCTGGCAATCGTTAACATCCAAGAAGCCCTTCACAAATATTAATTAATCAAAAACTGCATATTAAGTTGAAAATGTGCTATTTTACAGATGGAAAGCTGAAACAAAAACTATTAGTGAGTGCTTGAAAGCTGATGGAGTTGGCTTAGTGCAAATAAACACAGAACTTGACTGGGACCTGTAAAAATACCAGGCTGAGGAAACAGGTGATTGGTAGCAAAGCAGAGGTTAAAGAACTGGAGATGCCAGCTCTATACTTAGTCCTCAGGCTAGTTCTCTACATAAAATAAAGTGTTCTTGCAGGTGCTTTTTACCACATTATACATTAAAAATTTTAGATCATATTTAATTTTATTCAAAACTTTACCATCTTCATTGATGATATAGTTCCCCGATCATCTTTAGTGAGCTTTGTGAGTGCAGCTACTTTAGATGAATTCACCACAAGTTCAGCATTCAGATCCCTGCATTTCTCCATCAGACGATTTTCATTTTCATGAGACTTCTTCATAACAGCATGGAGCTTCTCATATTCTATTCGGAATTTTTCCAGAGTTTTATCTCCCTTAAGTAGATTGATGACTTCTTGGAAGTCTTTTTCCAGTGCTTCAAATGCACTTTCTTCTAGATATGGTTTGCCAGACTTTTCCTGAATAAAATGAGATACATAATCAACAAATAGGAGGAATTCAACACCTCACTTATGACCCCAGAATATAAAAAAGCAATATACTGAGTGTGTAACAGCTACTAAGAAATCACGACAAAATTTCATGAAATAACAGTTCTCTTGCTCGCATATGATATGCACATTGCAGGCTATTTTTCAAACAGATCTCCCCTTATTTTACTGAAATATCTTGTGCTTTAACAGTCAGAGTTCCTGTAATGGCGTACTACAGCTGCTTTAAAGATACATCTATAAAATATCTTTATTGTGATAGTGTTTAAATAATATATCAGTTAATCAGGAAGCCCAGTATTTTAGCCCCAATTCTTCCCAGTTCCCTACACTCTAAAGTCCGATTAGTTTATCCTTTCTATGCAGACAGTGCCAGCAAATTGCTTGTAGATAAGCCTGTCTGAAAGCTCCAGAAATGCCAATGCAAGCCAATCCTTGCTCTGCAGGAAATGCTACTGTTAAACCTTTCACAGGAGACATTTTTGATCTAGCTCAATTCTGACACCAAATTTGGCCAGCTCAATTACTGGACACCAAATTCCACCAGTATTTTTCAAAACAATTTCAAATAAGCCTCCATTATAGCCTTCAGCAGAACACAATCATACCAAGAGGAGGCAGGATAGCCACATCTCAGGAGATAACTTGATCTTCTAAGCAGCAAGATAAATCATCCCACAGGATGCTTCGTGCTGTCACGGATACTTTGCTGCTATTACTCACTTAAGCTTGCTCAAAACTGAACAGAACATCTCTATGCTGCAATCTGAAGTCTAAGTATATCCTTATAATCACATCTCAGAAGTGGACTTACTTGGGTAGGAAAGCAGCTCTACTGTTAGTGCGGGCCATGAATGTATGGTGACCCCACCTCATGGAGAAGAGGCAATGAGATGCACAGCTCCCACCACCTTAAAAACCTACCTTCATATCTCCCCCCAACAAACCAATGGATTGCTATTTCAAAAATGGTTCATACCACTACTCACCATTGGAACACAAACAGTTTAAAGGTGAGAATTTTCAAAATTCAAGAAAAAAAAAATTTTGTCAGCAAAATGACATGTTTCGTTTGTTTCATTGTTTTGGTGGGGGAGGAAGTATGTAAGTTCACACTACCTGGAAAACCTGAAATTAAAAGGGTAAAAACTGACCCTTGCAACTTGAAAGAAAGGTCAGGTCGTGCAATGCACTGAGGCAGAGGCACCAGCTCCAGATCTCCCCTCCTTGCCAAGGCTCTGATTTGAGAGGGGTTTTTTTTATTTGTCTGAAACTTCAATGTGAAAACAACAAAGGAAACTTGAATATTAAAACCCACGCTCCTGCTGGCACGGAAGGGCAGTCTGTGTGGCAGGGCCGAAGTCTGGTGCGTAACTCCTTCAAACCGCTCTGGCACTCATGGCAACCAATTTGGGTCTCTGTTTTTTCATCCTCCTCTCCAACATTAAACCTTCAGTTTTGATCTCGTTTACAATTGTGATTGTAAATCAAGTTTAAAAGAAGAGCAGTAACAGTGGGGGCGGGGGGGGGGGGTGGAAATCACACCTACAGTCTTCATAGTAGCAGGTGTTCCTAAAATTGAAGTGTTATTGCTGCCAATGTACAAGTAGCCTAATCATTCCTACTTTCAACACAAGATATAAATGAGCTCTGCTGACAAAACTAACTCCACACATCGATGTGGTTTAGAGAGGAATGATCTACAGATGATGTTGTCAGGCTTATCCTAAGGTGCAGCGTCTGTCCTCTCCCAAAAGCAGCCGGGGGGGTGGGGGGTGGGGATCGGGGGGCTCACCTCAGCCATGCTGCCGGCGGGCCGGGGGCGAAGGGGCTGGGCCCGACGCTGTGGCAGCCCGAGGCCGCGGCTCTGCAGAGGCCGCGGCGCTGTCTCGTAGCAACGGCGGCGGGAGGGGCCGCCGGGGCGGCGGGAGGGGCCGCCGCGGGGCCCCCGGGACCGGCGAGGCCGCGGTTGTCCCCGGGGCCCGGCGGGCTCCCGGAGCCCCGCACCGCTGCCTGGGCCCACGGCCCAGAGGCTACTCGGAGAGGCCCGTCGCGGCCTTGCGCAAGACGTTGGTTCGCCCCTTCCCCGTCCCGCCGGCCTCGGGGTTTTCTTCCGAAGCTGTCCGTCTTGCTGTTGGCGTTCAGCCGTCAGGGCTTTCTAATCGGCGGCACCGAGGAATGTTTTCCCCTCCGACCCGAAAGTCCCGGAGCCGCTCCGTGAGCTGGGCAGCGCGGTCAGTGCAGCGGCAGCTCCGCCGAAGGGAGAGTCAGCTGTCCCCTCAAGGCTCGGGGGGAGGCAGGGGCCCGTGGGCCAAGATAGAAGGGGATTTGTGCGCTTTGGGGGCACAAATTACATCTGGAGCCTGGCTTCTGTCATTTCACTGCCCCTGACTATTCACACTAGCGTCTCTGTGCGTGATTTTGTACAAACCGTGGAATAGAACGAGGCCAGGCAGGACAGCGGCTCTGTGCCGCAAGCTGTTTGCGCCACTCCCAGCTAACCCCCGAAATAGTTGTTCTTATCTCTGTGATGTCACAAATTGTTTCATCTGATAGCTTTTTAGGGCAGGGATTGTACTGTACCGTGTATACACTCCCTAGCAGAATGGATGTTGGCTATGACCTTAAAGTACCACTTGAAATGGAAAACTTCTTCTCTTCCTGGTTTAATGAAGCCTGAATTGTAGTGCTTCATTTTGCTGATTACATGGCAAAATAGGCAATTTCAAATGGATGCTTTCAAATGGTCTGAGTTTACCATTAGAACTGGAGAATAGTACACATTTTATAATGTATTCTCTATATGTATGACTTAATTTACAAAATATCCTACACATTGAAACATAGTTTCAGTCATTTCAGAGCACACTTTTTAATTAAAAAAAAAAAAAAATCAGTAATGTTCCTTTTAAACGTTTTGCACTCTTCTTTTTCCTCATTTTCTTTTGTACTGATATTTGTTACATAATAAAATTACCAGGAAGATGATCAGGATAATTTCCTTTATTCTAGGATTTCAGGTTCTCAAAAGGACCAAAGTTTTAGACCTTTAAAACAAAACAGCTGCACGTGTAAAGAAATAGCAAAAGGTATTATTTTAATTTTTTTAGCAAAGTACTGCTGGAAGAAGGAGATATGCTCAGTATATTTAAAAAAAAAAAAAAAAGCAAAAGTTCAAATTCACATCTTAAATATATAACCTTGATATTTGTTATACTATTTCTTATGGCTTTAACAACAAAACAGGAGTGAAAACTCATGTTTTGTGTCCAAAAATGATACCCATTTATTGAGGCATTCCCATGAGCTTCCCAATCCAGTTGAAGATGTCCCATCTCGTTGCAAGGGGGTTGGACCAGATGACCTTTAAAGGTCCCTTCCAACCCAACCCATTCTATGATTCTATTTTATGTTTTTCAGACTCCTGGTGATTTGTGTGCTGTGACTCTAAGGGTGACTGTATAGGCTCGTCTTCATGACAAGTGCCATTTAAGCTAAATTCATTCAAATTCAATGAGTTCTCAGTCATGGTAACTGCACCTCTGACTGCAGTAGGGTACCTATGATAATAGTCTGTGATAACTTACACTAAAGCCTGTTTTTTAAAAGGCAGCCACCATGCATTAAAACATCAAAACTCATTGTGCATAGTTTTAAGTGCAACCAGGACATAATCTGTGACGATGCTCAGATAGTTACTTTGAATTAATTCTGCAACAAACCTATAGAGTGCCTCAAGAAGTTCATGGCTGAGAAGCTTGACTGACACTCAAGAGGACATCTGGGTTTCTGACCTTAGCAAGAATCTCCTGTAACTTGGGACCAGCCACTTCAAATTCCCTGTGCTTTATATTCACCAGTGAAGTGCAAATAACTGCAACTGCCATCCTGCAATATCACTGTGACTGTCATGGCTATAAATGATGTGCCCATGTCATAGGGTGAACCTCTAGTCAAGGTGGAGCTCTTGAAGTGGATTCCCTTTTTAATGCTCCCTTTTAAGATGAGCCTATGCTCACAGCTCTGGGAAAACCTTTCTACTAGTAAGAGCAAAAAATTCCCACAGCCACAGAAGTAAAAAAAAAAAACCAACCTCCATTAACAGCAGGGACAAGTCAGATAAAGAAAGTTTCAGTTCATTGAAAATATTGTTACTTATTTCCCTGAATATATGACTTTGTTCAAGAGACACCTGTACTTTATAGTAAATAAGCAGAATCACCTGCTTCACCAGCTGCATAAAAGTGAGTTTAGCATCAGTGGGGTCTTTTTGTGTGTGTGCAGAAAGGGTTACTAGAGAAGAAATATATGCTCACTGATTTATTTGAGGTCACAACCCTCAGGCAGTTAATTTAATGCATGTTTTAAACTGTAGTGGCATGAATATGATAAGCCATCACTTCCTGAGTGTCAGGATTTATGGGCTACTGCACAGATATAAATAAATAGAGTAAAATCTCATCATAACATCACCCAGGAGAATGTAAGCAATTTGGGGCAGGGACCATGACAGTACATGTCTTCTGAGAAGTGTAAAATAAACCTTGTGGACATTGGAAGGTAACAATAAAAAGAATTGATAAAGGAAAGCCTTGGGGGTTGAGAGGTGTCGAAATGTGTTTCCTTTCACACCACGCTGTTATAAGGATAAACATCACTAGGTGGCACTACACCACCACAGTGGTTTGATAAACTGCCTCTTCCCCCCTCAACCAATAGCTATTTTCAGCCCCGACAAGCCTTACTGGTTTAGAAGCGTGTTACAAATATTAATTAATACATGGAGACCTAATGGTTGAGTTAACGTGTTCATGGATGAGGCCCTGTATTTGCATACAATTTCACTCAATTTACTCAGATAATATAATCAATGGGAGAGCACTACTAACAAACCCAAATTTTGTCTAACGATTTGATAATACTAAAATATTATTTTACATATATTACAAATATGTTACATAAATATTATTTTTATAACTGCAAGTCTTGTAATTTCCCCAGCAGTATGGAAATCCATCAATACGTCATGGCCTCCAACACCGGTGATGCTACAGATACTGTCAGTGGGCTGACATCCTGGGACATACCCTAGAACCCAGTTTACTTTATCAGCATTAAATCAGTTTTGCAGTATTAAATGGAACAAGAGCTTACTAAAAATACTTCTTTTTCTCCAGCGACAAGGAAACACTCTGTGGTCCTTGATTACCTAATTACCCAACTCATATTTTTACTATATTCTTTTTGAATGTCCTCTCCTCCTGTTATTTTCAAACTCAATGATAGCTTTATAATGTGAACAGTTGTTCAGTTTAAATTGGATTGAGGCTTTCTACTTTGTTCAAAAAGATCATGCAACAGGTCTCAAATAGCAGTAACCTTTGATCATGTTTGTCAGTAGAGTTGAGCCAATGATCTCAAGAGGAAGAAACATATCGCATCTAATTACCATTTTCATAAAAAGTTAAATCATGGAAATGTTTTGATTAATAGAAACACCCAAATAAAGCACTTGGTTAGTTCTGAGACAGAAGCTGACAAGTAGTTTATGTGTAACATACAATTACATGCTCTACATAAAAAATAAAATAGATGACAATTATGGAAAGCAACTAAAAATTAAGTCAATAATCCTGGAACTAAAATGAAGTTGCCATTCCACGGTGTGAGACTGCAGAACAGTTTCCTGTCCCAGCTTTTCCTCCCAGTTCTACAACTAGGATTACAATGGCTTGTCACGCTTGTCAGAAAATTCCTCTGTTCTACCCTTTTCTGAGCCAAACCCAGGGACTCTCCAAGACCGCTGGCGGAAAGCAATGCTCTGCAAATCCCCATCACCACTGCTGCCCACTGCAGGTTCTTACCACCACCAGTGTCATGGCTTATGCTACCAATCTGACCTACAGCTTTGGAGAGTGATGAGGGGGACTCTTCCTCCTATGTATTTGGAAGAAGTCTGGTAGAAGTGACTCCCTCCCATCCTGGCTGCCCAGCATCATTAATCCCTAGAGAGGCTATGAAGAAAAGCCTAGAAGGTAACATAAACATACTTGTCCCTGCACAGCACTCAACTTTCTTCAGTGGATACTTTCCATTACTTGCTTACCAGTTCTGACCCATGCCTGTCTTCCCAATCACGAACATTTGGGTTATATTTAAAACTGAGTTTCAAATACGTCTAGAATCATCACGTGTTCATGAGCAGAAAAAACTTCTTCCCATGCTTTCCAACAGCAGAATCCAGGCCCTTGTCTCTTATTCTTGTTCCCCTCATTCATATTTTATTATTCAGCCTTTTAATTCTCAACCACAAAATCTTCCCCTAGCTGAAAACTTGTCTGGCATCTTTCACTACTTGAAACTTGAGTCCTCTGGGATGAAGAGGCTATTAGAAAAAATCTCTCCTCTATTAATATCTAGGGAAGGCTACAGAAATCACAGATATTTAAGTTATTTATAAGATCAGGTGTAAGGGGGTAGATGAGGAGACTATATGGTAAGCTGCGAGAAGGTGACCTCATCCCCCTGCACACTTCCTTGCATGGTATCTAGGAGGTGTGAATTATTCATGGGTGGGAGTCCCCCACTCCCTCTTCTCCTTGGGCTGCTTTTGCTGGGTCATGCTGACCTGTGCCTATTAAAATACTGTCCTGCTGAAGCCTCCTCCAGCCTTACACAGCCACTTGCCATATAAAAGGTAGGGCCTCAGCAAGGGCTGACTCGCACAAAAATCATCACTGTTTTCTGTGTGTTAACATGATCCCTCTGTGTCCTTCAGAGGCTGGCAGCCATCTCCTGTGTTTCTTGTGAGGGTGACAGCTGGAAGCTGTACTAGAACCTGTTTCACTGCTACCTATCCATTGCCTCTCTATCA